TATCAATTGTTTAAAAATTCAGGAGAATTGTTTGGAGGAAAAGTTCTTGAACTAATTAATAAGGTATGGAAAAGTGGAATTCTTCCTAAAGAGTGGAAACATGCTGTAATCATTCCAATTGTGAAACCAGGGAAAAAAACAGATAATCCTACTTCTTATAGACCAATTGCATTAACCGCTGTTTTGTGTAAGATTATGGAGCGTATGGTAACTGATAGACTTGTGGATAAACTTGAGAAAAGTGGGTATTTTGTGGAGTATCAGAGTGGCTTCAGGCAGGGGCGGTCAACAATGGATGCTGTTTTAGACATAGATATTGACATCAAAAAAGCTATCGCAAATAAAGAAGCTATTGTTGCAGTGTTTTTGGACATTGAAAAAGCGTACGACATGCTTTGGAGGGAGGGGTTGCTCGTTGCACTCTATGATGCGGGAATCCGAGGAAGAATGTTTAACTGGATTAAGAATTTTTTGAGTAATAGGACAATTCAGGTAAGGGTGGGAAGTGAATTATCAGAGGAACTTGAGATAGAGAATGGAACACCTCAAGGTAGCGTTATAAGCCCAGTTCTTTTTAATATATTAGTCAATGGTATGTTTAGTAGAGTGGGAAAAGAATTTCGTTTTTCATTATTTGCAGATGATGGGGCCCTCTGGAAGCGTGGGAGGAATCTTTCTTATATGTTTGGCCAAATTCAAATTGCTTTAAAGAGAGTATCTGAATGGGCTGATGATTGGGGATTCAAAATATCAACAGAAAAAACTAAGTATATGGTATTTGGATGTAAGAAGAAAATGCCAACACAGATGTTACAAATAAATAATACGAATATTGAAAAAGTTAAACATTTTAAATTTTTAGGAATGTGGTTAGATGAAAGAATGACATGGAAAAAACATATTGAGATGGTTTCTCTTAAATGTGGTAAAATAATTAACGTCCTAAGGTGTGTGGCTGGGTCAGATTGGGGAGCTGATAGTGAAACTATGATGATGATTTATAGAGCAATGATAAGATCGACTATCGATTATGGCTGTGTGGTTTATGGGGCAGCAGCCCCTTCAGTTATTAGAAAGCTTGATATAGTTCAAGCAAAAGCTCTTAGAGTGTGTAGTGGGGCATTTCATACAACACCAATACCTGCGCTATTAATAGAAACAGGGGAGATGCCATTAGAAATAAGAAGACGTAAACTTGGTTTGAAGTATTTAATGAAACTAAAAGGACAGACTGGAAAGTTACCAACAAAAAACCTGTTGAATCAGCATTGGGAGTTTATGGGAACAACAAGATTGGTTAAAACAAACTTTATAGAAACAATCAAATCCATGGCAGGTGAAATTGGTATTGTGAATTTGAATGTATGTCCACCAGTATGTCGGTCAGAAGTACCTTTGTGGTTGATTCCAGATCCTAATGTTGATTTATATTTTTTGAAAACAAGCAAAAGAAAGATGTCAGAGGTTGTAGTGGAGGAGATAAAATCCCGGCAATGTCAAATATGGGGAGGCCACCTACAAATTTATACTGATGGGTCAAAGGATCGTGAGAGTGGGAAAGTGGCCTTTGGTATAAGTATACCCGAATTAGGTTATAAAAAAGGATGTAGGATCTCAGATCATTTGTCAGTATTTACTGCAGAGTTGATGGCAGTTTTATGGGCAGTAAGGTGGGTAGAAGATCATAAAAGGGAGTATTCTGTCATATGTAGTGATTCAGCTGCAACCCTAAATACAATTAAAAATATTAAAACTAAGTCTAGACCTGACTTACTTGTGGAAATTTTGCACGTGTTGTATAGAATTCATAAAGCAGGGAATGAGGTGGGGTTTTTGTGGGTGCCGGCACACATGGGTGTGGAGGGTAATGAGGAGGCAGATGAGGTGGCAAAGAAAGCAGTGAAGGAGGAAAGAGTTCAACTTGATTTGCAGCATGGGTTACCAGATTACACGGAAATAATAAATAGGTCAGTAAAAGAAATGTGGCAAAGGTCATGGGATTGTGAAAGGAATGGGAGAGCGTATTACTCAGTACAAAAAATGGTAGAGAAAGACAGATGTAATTATAGATATCAGAGAAGAGATGCAGTAGTGTTATCTAGATTGAGGTTTGGGCATTGTGGGCTGAGGGGTGGGCTGGCTCTGATTGGTAAACATCCTGATGGACAGTGTGAATGTGGAGAAAAGGAAACAGTGGTGCATATATTAATGCAGTGCAGGAGGTACTCTCAGCAAAGGAAGAAATTGTTTAGGGAATTGGGAGCAACAGGAGAAACTGTTTTTAATTTATGCTCTTTATTGAATTTGGACAGTTGGGAAAAATTAAAAAAATTGATGGAGTATTTGCGAAATATTGGAGTATATAAAAAGATATAGATAAGCAGTATTAAAGTTGTATATAGCGATTAGAGAACAGAGGAGGGCAGCAATACGCCATAGCTGCGTCTAGCCTGCCGGAAATACAAGAAGAAGAAGAAGAGGAGAGGATGGAGTTGTGTCGATAGTATTATTAAAAATCTACTGTTTGGTAAGTACATTTTGTATTAGATTAACGTGCTTGAGGTTTACTTGTGTGACATGAATGAACAGAAAGAAATGATGCCCACATTGTTTGTCAACTGAAATTTACTGAGTTTGGTTAAAATTAGCCAGTAGGCTTTGAACGTATACAACAACGGTATACCAAGTATATTGTTTAATGATACAGTCAAAGTTATTACTGTAACTTATTAATGTAGCCTTTTGAGAGTTTCTTTCAGAAAGTAAATTATCTGAAATGGAATGAAATGTTTAGCTGGATTTTAACATGTATGTTTTCAGTCTGCTTTAAAAATAAAGCATAACATATTTTATACAATAAAATAAAATGTAATGCATGTTGATTACCTTTTTCTAATGTTTTATTCATGATTCGTTCATCTTGTTCCATGTTTTTTTTTTTAATTTAGCTGTAGACCATAAAAATATTTTGAAAATAAGTGCATATCATTTACCTAAATTTTTAATTGAATAATAATTCTATTTATTTAATATATATATATATATATATATATATATATATATATATATATATATATATATATATATATATATATATATTCTCTTCCCTTAGATGCTGTGAAGAGGTGGAGCCCAAATGCTACAGACTCTGAAATTGATGCAGCAATGGCAGAACACCTGAAACACGCTCCAGGAACAGCTGGTGGATACAAAAACTGAGCCAAACAATGTGTTTTTAAACGGATAGTTTCCCCAAAAATGAAAATTGTCATCATTTACTCAACCTCATGTTTCAAACCTGTATACCTTTCTTCATTGAATTTTCATTTTTGGGTGAACTATCCCTTTATATAATAATTCAGTATTTTGTAATTGGTATTTTAGTTTGGTTAACAAATGTTAAACATTGAAAAAATATTAAGAGACATTTTTGCTGTTCAAGATCAATAAAATTGGCTAAATCAGAACATGCTTCTTTTTTTCTTATGTCCACAAATAATGTGTTCTTGTTTGTGATGTAGCCTACACGTGATTAAAACGTTTTATTGACGGTCAGGTCTGACTAGACCAATTTTGGACCTTTTTAGAACCTTTGTCAAGATGTGTAAACCTCAAGACTTGGTTGCCTTTCACGATGTTACACAATATGTGTGTGATTATTTTAAATGCAGGCATATATACACTTAATTATGCAGCAACACATTTAAACACACAAATGACGACGCATTTAGACGTCCAGGGACGCGCTGAAGAGACGTGGAATTCACGGCCAGATGACGTCAAAGACGTCGGTTCAACTTTCATTTTGGAACTATTTTTCAACCATGACGGGACGTGTCGGACGGACGTCTTTTCAACGGTCATTACACGTCCAAATGTTTGCTGGGAAGGGGCATTATCACAGGAAAAACATTAAGGTAAGACACGGGTGATGAGTGGCAGATGTGTGAGAGTTTTCAAATCAAATCAGTCTCTTGCCGCTCTGACGTAATCTTCCAGTAGCACCTCAATGCAGTACATGAGATCCACGGGGAGGAGTCGGATCCAGATCCAAGGGGTGGAGATGGGTAGGATTAGGGGTGGGTTTAGGGATTAGGGGTGGGTTTAGGGATCAGGGGGCGGAGATGGGTAGGTTTAGGTATATGTAAGGTGGGAGGAGTTGGATCTGGATCCGACTCCTCCCCGTGGATTTCATGTTCTGCAGTGAGGACCATCTCTAATCTCGTGCTGCATTCACTGCAGTCGGACATTGGAGATTCGCGCTCGTAAATTGTCAAATTGGCAGTTTAACTCCATTAATGAGAATGGCATATTTGATCTAAATGTTTGTATCAGATGTAAAGCATAGTTCAAATCATTATTTTATTTATTTAAACTGTTATTTTGAACATGCACAGTATTTATGATTAGGACTCATAATAAAGATGTACGGTTTTCCTTCATCTGCCGTTAGATATCCTAGCAGTCAGCTTCACTAAACGCGCCCAGAGCGCTCGCTAGCGCGGACATTTAAGAAGGGATCGATGTTTGCTCATGGTGAGTGATAGGCTTGATGAGTGAAACTATATATTTGTATTATCTTTCTATAATTTTCTTTAAATTTTCTGTCTAAAAGTGACCAAAAAGTCATTAACTCCAGCTCACCATCAGTGTCGCCAACTGCTCGTACTGCTGAACACCATAAAGAGATGTGTGTTTGGCCTACATCAGAGTTTGAGTGCAGGTGCGCAAATTTTCCTATCAAGTTTGTTTTTATAAATCACAAATTCGTCGGAAGTGTCTTTCAGGGCCTGTTTTGTAGCTATATGCAATGGTTATAAATCTGGGCGGTGTAAACGGGAATGTGACTCCCTCGTTTAATTGCCAATTTAATTGACCAAAAGTCTTAATGCCAGGTGTAAACAGGTCATGACACAAAAGAACACAAAAATCTAACATTAGCTAATGCTGTGATTTAAACACTTTTTAACCTGCTTTTAAACATTCATTAATTGACTCACCATAAACGGTAACATTGAAGAACTTTTCACTGATGCTGCTGCTGCTGATGAGTTTTAGAAGATAAACTTCAGAGTCTGTGTTTCTGGTGTTTGTGATGGTCAGAGATCCAGTCTCATGATCCAGCTTCAGTCTGTCTCTGAATCTCTCAGTACCATTAATACACTGAACATCTGTGCAAACATCACTGAGATCTCCACTGATTTGAGCGATGAGAATGTTATTAAAATACCATTTAATCTTTTCTTGTTGGTTTGTTTGAACACCAGTGTTTAGAGTGACTGAATCTCCCTCCATCACTGACACCCTGACAATACCATAAACGGTAACATTGAAGATCTTTTCACTGATGCTGTTACTGCTGCTGAGTTTTAGATGATAAACTCCAGAGTCTGTGTGAGTGATGTTTGTGATGGTCAGAGATCCAGTCTGATGATCCAGCTTCAGTCTGTCTCTGAATCTCTCAGTATCTTCATTACACTGAACATCTGTGCAAACATCACTGAGATCTCCACTGATTTGAGCGATGAGAATGTCATTAAAATACCATTTAATCTTTTCTTGTTGGTTTGTTTGAACACCAGTGTTTAGAGTGACTGAATGTCCCTCCATCACTGACACCCTGACAATATCAACATTGAAAAAACCTGGAAAAGAAAAAAACAGTTAATAATGAGCCAAACAAAACTAAACAACAGGAAAGTGCTGTGATTTTTTTTTCTACAGATCATTAAGATTGTGAGTAGAGAAATATGTTTGGATTCATAATGTAACTCAAACAAACAGTAGAAAAACAGCATTGATTTACAGATTCACTCATCAGACAAACATACATGAGTCTCATCATGGATGATCCTGAACATCCTAATGAACATCATACAAGCAACAGACACACACACACACACACACACACACACACACACACACACACACACACACACACACACACACACATATCTGTATAAGCCGAGTCCAGATAGGATGTTCTTTGATTTTTCACCTCTTTAGTGAAGACTCCACATCGCTGAATCTCTGGAAAAGCCTACACCGTCGACGAAGCATTTCAGCGGGACGAGCATCTGCTTCGCAGAACAGGAGCCCAGCCATCCTCACCGCTTCTCTGCCCGTACCTGCTGCACTTTCCGGCGCTCATATCCTTTTACTAAGCTTCCTGTGTGTTTGCCCGTGGACTCACTTCCTAAAAGAGCTGAGGCGTTGTTGCAAATGCTTCGTTTTACAAAGTGCGGCTCTTGCAGAGCCCCTCTCAGCGACGAGGACCGCCACATCCTGTGCGTTTCCTGCCTGGGACGGAACCACGCCGACCTCGCGCTTTCACAAGGTGGCTGCCCGGAATGCGACGACATGGCTGTGTCGACCCTGCGGGCTCGTTTGACGTGGATCCCACTCCTCCTTCTCTTCTGTCTGGGCTGCGCTGTAGAAAGCGCCGTTCACAGAGAGCTCCGGAGGCCACCTCAGTGAGCGAGTGCACGCCGGCCATCTCCCCGCATGCATCGCCGTCTGGTTTCCCCTGCCTCGATCAATGGCCGCCCGGCCTCCATCTGCCGCTGTCGTGCATCTCGAGTCTGAGGGGGACAACGCGGAGGAAGACAGCTGCTCTCTTGCTGTGTCGCTGAGTGAAGGATGGTCAGTCTCCAATCCGGACCCCACCCTTCCCTGCAAGAGTCGAGCGGCGTGCGGGCCAGTGTCGACGAAGAACTGCTTCGCCTCGTCACCAAGGCCATGGACGACCTCGAAAAACCCGCTGAAACCTAGAATGGCTGACTCCCGCCGCGGTCCCGCTCTCGCTCTCTCACTCCCCTCAACAGAGCCGGCTGGAGAAGTGTATTTTGCAGTCAACGAGCCCATCTCACGACCTGCTCGCCTGTACCCAAAGACCGTTTTCACGGATACCCAGATAAGTCGCAAAGAGCGTTTGCTGTTTCTCTGGCTCACGCCACGATGTACGTGTTCTAAATGTAGAAAGTATGCCCACTATGCATTGCTCACCCCTAGTCACAAACACTGTCTGCCATGTGACACACCACCCGGCTCACGCTGAGGATGTTATAAATGTAGGTTTTGTGCCCACTGTACAGTGCTCACCCCTACTCACAAACACTGTTGGCCATATAACACACTACTCGGCTCACGCCGTGGATGTTATAAGTGTAGGAAAGTGACCACTACCCAGTGTTCACCCCTACACATAAGCACGGCTCGCTCTGTGACACACGCACACTCAGTTTGCGTTCAGTGTGTAGAGCGCGCGCGCGCTTCTCAGAGCTTGCGCCCCTCTCAGAGCGTGTGCCCACATGCAAACACCGCATGCTATGTGCCACACACACGCAGCGGCTAGAGCCCAGATATCATTCTTCCCCTAGCTTTAAGTATGAAAGCATGGGAAATGATCCGGGGCGTGTCACAGTGGGTACTGAACGCTATAGGTTATGTGCCCACAGTACAGTGCTCACCCCTACTTACAAACACTGTTTGTCACACTACACACCGCCCGGCTCACGCCGCGGATGTTATAAGTGTAAAAGTGGTGCCCACTACCCAGTGTTCACCCCTACACTCTGTGACTCGCATGCACTCAGTTTGCGTTCAGTGTGTAGAGAGCGTGCACGCCTCTCTCAGAGCGAGGGCTTACAAGCAAACACCGCAAGCTATGTGTCACACACACGCAGTGGCCAGAGCCCAGATGTCATTCTTCCCCTGGCTTTGAGTTAAAAGCATGGGAAATGATCCTGGGCGTGTCACAATGGGTACTGAACACCATAAAGAGAGGCTATTCCCTGCAGCTCGCTTACAGACACCCGTGCTTTCGGGCCAGGATCGAAACTACAGTGAGAAACGAAGTAGTTTCTACCTTGTGCCGAAACAGCGAAACTGCTGGGGAAAGGAGCTATAGAAACCGTCCCTCTGACACAGAGCGCTTCAGGTTTCTACAGCAGATATTTCCTTGTTCCCAAGAAGGATGGCGGTCTCAGACCCATTCTAGATCTCAGACGCCTGAACAGAGCCCTCTGGCAGAGATCATTCAAAATGCTCACGACCAGACAAATCCTCACGCAAGTTCGCCCGAGGGACTGGTTTATTTCAGTAGATCTGAAAGATGCCTATTTTCAGATTCAAATATCGCCCCATCACAGTCCTTTCTTACGATTCGCCTTCGAGGGCCAGAGCTATCAGTACACCGTCCTGCTGTTCGGCCTGTCTCTAGCACCTCGCACATTCACGAAGTGCATGGACGCAGCGCTCGCTCCCCTGTGGCTACAGGGGATGCGAATATTGAACTATCTGGCTAACATTCAGATTGGCTAATTTTAGCCCAGTCAGAGGCAGAACTGATAGCGCACAGGGCTGTACTGCTTACACATCTACAAGCCTTGGGTCTCCAGGTCAACTGGACCAAAAGTTCGCTGTCCCCAGACAGACTATCTCTTGTCTGGGAACAGACTTAGACTCCGTATCAATGACAGCATGGCTGACTTCACAGCGTGCGCTCCAGATACAGTGCTCAAAAGCCCTTTTCAAGTTCGGCAGTATTCTCCCTCTCAAGAGGTTTCAGAGGATGCTGGGCCTTATGGCTTCGGCCTCGGCAGTGCTTCAGTTGGGTCTGCTTCATATGCGCCCCCCCAGGGCTGGCTGAAAGCATGGGTCCCGCGTCGAGCGTGGACCTCGGGCCATTTTTGCCTCAAGGTAAACCAGAGCTGTGTGACAGCACTGGAACCCTGGAAGGTGACAGACTGGTACCAGTCAGGCGTGGATCTGTGAACGAACTCGAAACGAAAAGTAATCTCGACAGACACCTCCAACTCAGGTTGGAGCGCCCTCTACGAGGGCAGGCCGGTCTTCGGCCTGTGGGCAGCCCAGGAAAGGCGCCTACACATAAACTGTCTAGAGATGAAAGCGGTCGAGAATGCGCTGGGGCACTTTTTCTTAAAGGGCCAGAATGTCCTAGTCCGCACAGACAATATGGCAGTAGTGTCATACATAAACCGCCAGGGTGGTCTCAGATTAAGAAGCCTCCACGCGCTGGCAGAATGCCTCCTTGTGTGGTCTCAGCACAACCTGCGCTCACTGACAGCGGCACACGTGCCGGGCTGTCAAAACATGGGTCCGGACATGCTGTCCAGAAACAACGTTCCCCCAGGGGAATGGTCCCTGCACCCCCGAGTGGTTCAGTTGCTATGGGACCGGTTCGGCAGAGCGAAAGTCGATCTCTTCGCGTAGCCAGAGAACGCGCACTACCCAATATTTTTCTCGAAAAACAGGGATGCGTTGGCCCACGACTGGCCCAGCCTCCCCCTCTATGCGTTTCCCCCGGTCGCATTGTTACCCCAGGTAATCAGGCAAATCAGGGAGAGCAATTGCTCTGTGCTCCTTGTGGCACCGCTTTGGAGGAACCAAGTCTGGTTCCCAGAGCTGATGCAGTTATCGAGCACAGCCCCATGGCCTGTTCCGGTGAGGAGGGATCTCCTATCTCAGGCCAGGGGTGCGGTTTGGCACCCGCACCCCAAACTATGGGCCCTGCATGTGTGGGCCATCATCGGGTATCCGCTGATCTCCCAGTAAACATGCTTAATACTATCACACAGGCTAGAGCGCCCACTACCAGACGACTCGACGCTTCTAAGTGGTCAGTGTTTTCTAGCTGGTGCTCAGCCCGAAACCTAGACCCACAACGCGGCAGCGTTACAGAGATCCTCTCCTTCCTACAAGAGCTTTTGGATGAGGGCAGGTCCCCCTCCACGCTCAAAGTGTATGTTGCGTTCATTGCAGCGTTTTTGAAACCCCTGCACGGCCGGTCACTGGGAAGGAACGATCTTATCATCCGCTTCCTTAGGGGTGCTAGGAAACTAAACCCTCCGCGACCCCCTATGGTTCCAGTCTGGGACCTCCCCACGGTCCTGAACGCCATGAAAAATGGTCCCTTCGAACCCTTGCAGTCAGTGGACTTGCAGGTTCTATCTTTTAAAACCGTTTCCCTTATGGCTCTCGCTTCAGTTAAGCGAGTGGGCGACCTGCACGCGCTCTCTGTAAGCACAACGTGCTTGGAGTTTGGGCCTAACGACTCTAAAGTTGTCCTCAAACCGAGACACGGCTATGTCCCCAAAGTGCTCTCCACTCCGTTCAGAGCGCAAGTCATCTCCCTGTCAGCCCTACCTGGGTCTGACGTCAAAAATGACATTAATCTCCTCTGCCCGGTCAGGGCATTGAGGATATATGTCGAGCGGTCTGCTGCGTTCAGGCAGTCAGAACAGCTCTTCGTTTCGTTCGGTGGCCGCAGCAAAGAGCTAGCCGCCTCGAAACAGACTCTTTCCAGATGGATAGTTGACGCTATTGTGCTGGCTTATAGGTCTAAGGGCCTTCAATGCCCCTTAAGCATCAGAGCCCATTCAACCAGAGGCGTGGCCTCTTCATGGGCCTGGTCCAGTGGAGTTTCACTCCAGGATATTTGTAGGGCGGCAGGCTGGGCCTCTCCGTCTACATTTATACGATTTTACAACCTGGAAGTTCCTGCACTGCAGGCTAAGCTGTTCTCAGTCTAATACTTGACTGACAGACTATAACAGTCAGTTGCAATACAGTTCAGGCCGACTCAGGTCCCTCCTGTCTGTGATCATGTGATAAGCACTGATTCCTATAGTTATAGGATTATGATATATTTTAGGCCCACTACTCGTTGGTCTGAATATCACTCTCTGGTATGGTTCACAAGTATGGTTCTCCGGGTACACATCCCTTGAGACCATGTACCTCCAGCACGCACAGCATTTTACATTGGGTTCCGGTAGCGTAAGCTAGCTTAAGCAACACGAGAGTACTCTCGTAAGAGAACGCTCTCGGTTACTAACGTAACCTTGGTTCTCTCTAGATGAGGGAACGAGTGTTGCGTAACCCTGCCGTGCTTGTGCTACGTTCTGGTTTCGCTTCAGTGTGAAAAACCGGAGTCCAGAAAATATACACATAAGCCACGCCCATTCTGGCGGGACGTGACGCGCGAGGGCGCCCGCGCCCTCATTGGTGCTTACGTCACGAACAGTCCATCGATAGGCTGCAGCAGTTGCCGTAGAGCAACCAATAGGCGCGCGAGCTGCTCCGCCTAGGTCTGCTCTGTGCAGCAATGCGTTTTAAACTAATGCAAAATAAAGGATAATTTTTGGCTTCAGTATTCTCGAGAAAAGGGGCTTTTCCCGTAGCGTAATCTAGCTTACGCAACACTAAAGTTAGTAACCGAGAGTGTTTTTTATAGGGTACAACAGTGCTAAAGTTTACACAGGGTAAAAGGCGCCCCTGATTTTTCTCTAAACCACTAGATGGCACAAAAACTTGCCGCAGCACTTTTTTTTTACGTGGAAATTCGGCCGATCCTTGAAGAGATCGCGGGCAGCAGTGCAAAGTTGGTTCTACGCTAATTTGAGCTAATATTTCATGTTTTTTAAAATGTTGAAGATTCATGTAGCAAATGAGGATTGCTAAAATTATTTATTT